AAGGGCAGCTGCGCCGGTGTTGCCAAGCCCAGGGGCCCTGCTCTGCGCGACTCTCAAGGCGGCCCTGCTCAGTTGCCCCCCGAGCCGTCTGTCCACCTGTCACCACCGCCGCCACCCCCTTGGCGATGTACACCGCCGCGTCTGTCTGCTTGATGCCGCCAAAGGTGTCGATGAGGCCCGGGTCAAAGGCGCCGCCGCCGGCCACCGTCAGCAGCAGGTCGATGGCGGCGGCGCGGTCGCCGTCAAACTGCCAGGGTGCGGCAAAGTGCTGCTCGTCGTCGGACAGGGTGGAGATGCAGGAGGAGGAGCCCAGGTCGCAGGCGTTGAGCGTCTCGTTGACCTGCAGGCGGGGAGGCTAGGAGAGCCAAGGGGGCGACGGTGGCGTCGGCAGGGCAGTGGTGAGAGGGCGGAGGCATGGCCGAGGCACGGATGCCAGGCACATGCAGCGCCTGCATGCGGCCCGTACCTCCCCCAGGCACTCGAAGCAGTCCCCTATCTCCGGCGGCGGTGGGACGGGTGCCGCACGCGCCGCCGCCGGCTGCACCGCCACGAGCAGCGCCGCCGCAGCCGCAGCCAGCACTCCCCGCCTGCAGCCGCGGACCAGGAGCCCGGATGAGACAACCGCATGCTTGACAACCAGGAGGCGGCCATCAGGGGCACGTGGGGCGGCCAGCTCTGTAAGAAACCAGGAGGTGGAGCAGCGGCAGCACCGCTCACCGTGTGGCGGGCGCCTGTAGCTGCTGGGAGCAGGTGACCACCACATTGTGGCGCCTGGGCTGCGTTGCCTGAGCGCTTCCCAGGCAGCATGAAGTCTGCATATTGGCGGGCGGGACGGGGGTGGCTGGCGAAGTCTGTGGTGCGTTCCTACCCAATTGCGACTGCTTCTTGCACACACTCGCACAGGCCAATATGTAGATGGCTTGACGTGATTGGAAGCTTGCAAGCAGGGCGCCATCATGCGATGCAGCTGAGCAAAAAGGCACGCTGCCAGCGCGGCAGTCTCCACAGTACACTCGCTTGCGGGCAGCCGCACCATCTCCCTCTCATCTCTGCAGCACCAGCCTGGCATCTGCAGTTGGGAGGCGACTGGCACGGTGCAGCGGCTGCACCGGCATCCCCCTTCCCAACGACTCAGCCCCCGGTCCCATCCCCCGGCCCTGCCCTTCCCTCCCAGCGCGGCGGCGTTGGCGCGTGCACTGCACCACGGCCCCCGCGGCCGCAGCAGCTAGTCTCCAGTGGCAGCGCTGAGCAGCGGGTGGGTGGGCAAGGGCGGCGGCGTGGAAATGCCATGGAAGCTGCCGCAATCTCCCCGGCCTCTGTCAGGCCATAAGCTGTGTAGCGCTGGCTGGGTCCGCCACAGCGCAGGCTGGCATCATGCTTGTTGGCCCAGACCCTCTCCGGCCGCTGCCACCTCCCGCCGCCTCCCGCCAACCGCGCCGCCGCGCTCGTGCCGCCGCCCCCGCGCCGCAGCCCGCCACGTAGGCCCGGCACCTCCTGGAGTCGATTACGTCGTTCCGGCGGAGCCCCTCCATCACTGGGGGGCCCCGCTGCGCTGAGGCAGGCGCCAACCTGGAGCGCTCAGGCAGCCGGAGGATGCCGCCCAAGCAGAAGAGCCGGCACGTGGCGCTCAGTGCCATCGTGATGCTCTGCTTCGGGGTGAGACACGCACTGGAGGGGCGCGGGCAGCGGCTGCCTGGCAGCCGCCTGCAGGCCCGCCGCCGCCGCCTCCTTGCCTTCACCTGCCGTTCCCGCCGCATGGCCTTGCGCCGAGCCGCGAGGGCGTCCCCACCAGCCGCACCCCACCCCCTGCCGCTCCTCCTTCCTGCCTTCCCCCGCGCAGCTGGCGGTTGTGATTTTCAAGTACCACACGCAGCCCGGGGGGCAGCTGTACGGGGTGGCCGGCCTGGGCACCGGCGGCGGCGGCGGCGGCACCCTCATGGCATCCTCCGCCTCGGGCTTTGGCGTGGTCATCGACTCATCGCTGTCGGCAGCCGAGATCTCGCAGCAGCTGACGCCGGGCAGCTCGGGGCGCGGACCCTTCGACCTCAGCAAGTACCCGGGCTTCTGCCGCAAGATGCGGGTAGGGTTGGGAGGCGCCCGGCTGGCGGGCGGGCGGGCCGTGCGCGACGCGCCGCAGCGGCTGCGGCCTGGTGTGGAGCGCTGCGGGCGGCTGCGCAGGCGCCATCCCGCCGGGCTGCCGTCCCCACCGGCCGCCTGCATCCGACCCTGCGCCTCACCCCCCACCCCCACCCCCTGCCGCCTGCCTCCGCCGCCGCTGCAGCCGCCCAACGTGCCCGTGCTGACGGTGCAGCGCATGTGGCTCAGCGGCCGGCAGCGCAACTACACAGACGTGTCGCTGG